CTCCCCCAGAGCTTCTCCTCTCGTGTCCCATGGTCAGGCAGTTGAGGCTGCCCAGGCCAACCTGGCCTCACTGCAGGTGGGGAGGCACCACGGAGGCYGGTGTTTCAGTGCAGCCTTGGGGACGGGCTGGACGTGCCGCCCACAGCCTGGTGCTGAGCACAGACCCTGCGGTCAGGGTGGGTGCTAGCGTCCTGGGACCTTGGGTGAAGAGCAGCCAGAGCTTGTCAGGACCCTGCTGCACGGACGGGAGAGCAAGAGCTTACCCTGCCTGCAATCTGCCTGGAGAAGGACTCCACCAAGGCCTCCACGCCGTAGTCCGTGAGCATGGAGGTGTTGTAGAGGAACTGCTCGTAGCTGTACTCCTCCCCTTGGATGATGAAGGAGTCCGGCATCAGCCCGTGCCAGTGGTAGAGCTGGTTGAACTCCACGGCAATGCGGTTGCGGTACTGGAACTGCTCCCCRAAGAGCAGCTCGGGGTCAAACTTGAGGCTCAGGAAGTACCCGCTGAGGTGCTGGACATAGTCCTCAATGACTATCTTGATGGTCTCCCCTGGGCAGGAGGCAAGAGAGGCAGCAGTCACAGGAAAGCTGACCTTGATGTACACAGAGATCAAAAACGGGTGATTCCTGGGGTGGTGACATGGACCACACCAGGATTTGGGTTGAAAATTACATTTCATGAGATAATAGTAAATTTACAATAGGACATTAAAATGAGATGACTCAGAATTACAGCACTTAAACTTTTTGATGGGCCAAAGGAAATGTTTTTGTTTAAAAAAACTGCTTATGTTCTGACAAGGGGCCTCTCTCAACAGAAGATGAGATCTGCTGCGAGCGCCTCGCAGCCTTGGAGGTGTCTTTGTGCTGCCCTGCCAGCAGGGCCGCACCAGCCCATGGGCAGCTCCCCCAAGGAACCCGTGTCACCCCCCGGAGCCAAACCCTGTAGGTGATGGCTCCTGGGGACACGTAACTGCTGCCACCAATGCCAAATGGCACGAACGTCACAACAGAAACGCCACGAGATGGAAAGGATGCAGATAAGCCCGCTTCCCACGGAGAAGCCCTGGGAAACAGGCTGAAATTCAAACGAGCGCCACGCAGAATAGCAGGACATGGTGCCAGGGTGAGATACAATCTCCATAGTCTCCGGGAGCAGAGGCAGGGCAGCCAGCACCTCCCCGGCACAGCGCGACAAGGCACCGTCGCGGGGCCGCGGCGCCCGGCGCTGCCCTCACCGATGAGGATGAGGCGGGCGGTCTGGAAGAGCTGCTCGTCGTCCCACGTGGGATGCTCCTGTTTCAGGATGTCGCAGACGCGGTTGTGCTCGCGAAGCCAGAGCGTGGAGTAGAGGCAGAGCCCTGGCAGGAGCCCGAACACCTCCTGGCCCATGGCCATCTGCTGCTCCTTGGGCAGGGCCGGCGGGTAGACCATGTGCACGGGCGCGTCGGCCACCGTCGGYGGGTACATCTCACCGTCCACCACCTTGGGGAGACAAGAGCGGGCAGGAGCGGGGRACAGGCCCTGCACCATGAGCCCTTGTATGTTGGGTGTCTGCAGGGCCCATGGTCCTTCTCCAAGMGGCATGAGGGCTGTGGCAGGACGTCCCCATGGACCTGCCAAAGAGGTGGCTCCATCCAGCCATCACCACATGGCACATGGTCCTGAGGGCTGGTGTCTCCCAAAGCTCCTGGGGGTCTCAAGCCCAGCAGCCTCCAGAGAGATGCCAGCTTCAAGCACCCACCACGGGAGCAGGGCAGCCCTGCAGCACATGCTGCTGGTACCTGGAATTTGAGCTTCCCATCCCTGAAGAGTCGCAGCTGGTGCTGCCGCTGCAAGTTGTCCCCGTACAGGTGCCCAAGGTCCACCTGGAGAAAATGCTGGTGTCACCAACGCGGCTGCACGTCCCACCTGGCGCCCGGCGCTGCTCTGGGGCTGCGGCTTCTCCACAGGGTTTGCAGAGACTGGAGATGCTGGCGAGCGGCTGGAGCAGCCGCCAGGACCGGAAAGGCCCTGGGTGCCCTGCGGGCCAAGGTGCCACCCTCACCCCGTGGCCCAGCGCCTTGGTGAAGCCGCGGCCCATCTTCCCGGAGGTCTTGAAGAACTGGTGGGTGAAATGCTGGGCGAAGAAGGCGAACATCAGGTTGGTGCCCTGGGGGTCGGCTTCGAACTTGTGCCGCAGCAGGAACCGCTCTGCCAGGAGCTGCGCGTCCGGCAGCTGCTTCCTCCCTGCGGCGACGGGACGGGATGGTCTGGGCACCTTGCGCTGCTTCCACACAGGCCACAACATGACCCAACCGGGGGGCTTCTAACCACCCGGGGGGGCTTCTAACCACCCAGGGGGCTTTAGCCACATGTGCTTCAAGGGCTGCCCAGCCTCAGCCCCTGGTTCCCGGCCTGGGAAGAGCCTTGGAGCACAGGCAGCGCTGGCCAAGCTCCGCAGATGCAGCCGCTGCTGGGAAAGCCAGGCCGTGCATGGGAGCCGTGGGGCGGCCCCATGGCACCTACCTCTGGTGCCCATGGGCGTGGGGCAGCCGTCGGGCACGGGCGGCAGCACCCGCGTGTAGTAGCTGACGTTGGCGTAGGCCTCCCAGCTGACGTAGCCGTAGGCAGAGTTGAAGGTGGGCGGGCTGGGGATGAGGTTGGCGCGGGCTGCAGGGAGGGCAGAGCCACGTGTCACCCGCGGGGTGGCCGGCYGAGGCGCACCAGGCACGGGAGCCGTGCGAGCCGGCGGACAGGCCCTGGCGCACCCAGGGATGCAGCCTAAATATTTACGCCATGTGCTAAAYGTCAGGACAGGGTGAGTAATAGGGGCCTCATGGATGTTTCCATCGGCTTTTCCTGGAGAGCCAAGCTGCTGGCAGCTGCCTGTGGTTTCCTGGTGTGCCGCGGTGCCCAGCTCTTCCCTAGCCCAGCTGCTGCCCACGCTGCTTCCCAGTGCTCGCTGCATCCCAGCACATGCACTGCATCCCAGTGTCCACTGCTTCCTGGCACTCAGCGCTGCATCCTGGTACCCCCCACCACTGCCCTTGGCATCTGCCACCTCCTCTCCCTGCTGCCGAGCGCCGCACCCTGGTCCCCACCACCAGTGTCCCCAGCACTTGCCACTGCTGCATCCCAGCGCCCAGTGCAGCCCGGTGCTGCGGCCTGCCCGGCACATGTCCCAGGCCCCCATGTGTGGCCTCACCTATGAGCACCAGCCGCATGAGCATGTCCCGCACGAAGGTGGCGTTGATGATGTCCCAGAGCCCCTGGAAGTGGGTGAGGATGAAGTGGTAGAAGGCCGGGCTGGGCTTGAGCAGCGTGCGAAGCCAGGTCCAGAGCTCGGCTGCAGGGAGACGGCGCGGCCGGCGTCACTCCCCGCCAGGGCCCGGTGCCACGTGGCGCCGGCCGGGGCAGCGGGACGGGGCGTCCCGCGGGACTCACGCGTGGTGCAGTTGGGCCCTGTGTAGCCGGTGCGGGTGCAGTCGCACTCGTAGCCGCCGAGGCCGACGCTCACGCAGACGCCCTGGTGCTGGCAGGGGTAGGCGCAGCAGGGGTTGGCTGTGGGGCACAAGTGCGGCCRTGGGTCGGGGCTCCCGAGCTGCTCCCTGTGGCACCGCTGCAGCCCGAGCTGCTCCGGAGCCGCTGCCGGACACCTCTCCTGCACCCCCTCCCTGCAAAGCGCCCCAGGGCTGCAAGCAGCAGCTCCCAGGGATCCCAGGCCTGGAGCTCCCRGCCTCGCTGCTCCTGCTGCTCCCGCTGCTCCCTCTGCTCCTGCTCTCCCACCTCCACTGCTCCCGCTGCTCCCAACCCTGCTGATCCCACTGCTGTTGGAGCAGCACGGCCTGGAGCAGCGGTCCCGCATCCCAGCCAACACCAGCATTCAGCTTCCGCCTGCTCCCCGGAGGGATATTTTCCCTGGTAGCATCGCTTGGACCTGCAGGACTCCAGAGGCTCCAGGACAGGGATAAATCCTTATACACACGGTACCAACATTAAGGCCAGCAGTCAGCGCCCAAGCAAGCGTTTGCTTTGGCAGGCGGCCGGGCTGCTTGGAGGGAAGCGGCAGGCGCTGGGGCTCCATCCTCATCCCAGGGCCGGGCGCTTCCTCCGCGGCAGCGCCGCCGGCTGCGTCTGCACGCGCCAGATAAGGAGCACGGCCGGCGCTGCAGCAGCCCCGGTGCCGCAGGGCCATGGGCCTCCGGACTCGCCCTGTGTGGGACGCGGGCTCCCGGGGAGCCCTGGCCCCGAGGAGGCCTGCGGCAGAGCTCCAGATCTCCGTCCAGCATCTCCYTGGCGCTGCGCCGGCACCGGAGCTCGCGCCAGCTCAAACACGGCTGCTTCCAGGGCGGCAGGTTGCAGCCTGCAGCCGAGCCGAGGCCACGGCGAGGAGCGGCGCCCCCGCGGACGGCAATCCCGGCACCTCCGTCCCGCTGCTCGGGGACGCAGGGAGAATCCCCTGCTCCCGCGGCCGGCACTCGCAGCGCAGATCTTTCCTGTGGCCTGGAAAAACACGGGCCGAGGCAGCCTGAGTGCTGGAAGAGCCCGGGCGCCTGCACCGCAGCCCCAGCATCCCACCCCGCTGGTGGAGCGGGGCTGTCCTCGGGCCTTGCGCAACCACCGAGCTCTCCCATCCAACCCCAAATCAGCTCCAGATTTTCCTGGAATTTGAGAACAGGTTCCGAAGCAGCTGGGAGCGAGAGGCAGAGCCCAGAGCATGCTTACCCGTCAGAAAAGGCAAAAGATTAATTTCTTCAAAACATAGGCCTATTTTCGCAAAAATCCCTCAGTTCTGGAGCCAGCTGCCATCTCCAGCAGTGATGCCGGGGCTGCCGGTGCCTCCACGGGGCCGTGCGACCTGCCGCTCCCGCCGCAGGCCCCGCGCCCGGCACACCGGAGCTCAGCTCCCGCTGGGCCTCCAGACATGCTGGCCTCCGCTTGAAGCTTTCCATGCGTCCTGACTCCAACGTGCACCCAGAGCGAGGCAAGAAGCAGATTGCTGGATATTGCAGATGCTTTGACCTCAGGCTGCTGGATTCTTTTCTTTTTTTCCACCTTTTTTTTTTTTTTTTTTTTGGCAAAAGGGAGATGTTTGCAGGCTGAGCCTGGCCCTGCCTGCGCAGAGCAGGAGCAGGAGCTGGAGCGGGGAGGAGCAGAAGCAGCCCCTGGCGCTGCAGCTCTCAGCCCTGCGCCAGCAGGGACAGCTCGGGCGGCGGGTCCTCCTCGTGCGGGGCGAGAGCAGCACATTCCAGCGGGCGGGAGCGGCGGGAGCCTCGGGGCTGGGGCGGCCCCGCCGGCTCTCCCCACCCCGCGCAGGAATTCAGCCCCGAGGCGGTCGGCGCCGGGGGCACCCTGCGGAGCTGGACGGGAGCCCCGTGCGTGACCGCGCGCTCCGGGCACGGACGAGCCTCAGGCGCGGGGTGGCATCTGCTCGGCCCAGGCCGCGCGCTGCACGTCGGGCGCTGTCTCTGTGTGTGGCACTTGCTCTGCTGCCCTGCACGGGTCTCCTTGGGTGCATGTGCCCTCATCGGGCTGCCAGTGCCACGGCTGCAGCGCCAGGGGCTCCTGCAAGGCCGCACGGGTGCAATGAGCTCTGTGCGGATGCAGTGAGCTCCGTGCAGGCCCCAGGGTCCCCTCCGTGCTCCCTGCGTGCAGCCCAGCCCGGGCTCTGGAGGCTCCTTTGCCTCTGGAGGCAGAGGAGTCCCGAATGAGCAGCCCCAGGCACCACAGACCTGGGTTACTGCAAGGGCAGCATTTGCAGGGAAAACCTGCAACACTGGGAGCAGCTGGGAGCTGGGGAAGCTGCCCTGGGATGGCAAACACCACACGTGGGAGCCGGGCGCAGCCTGGCCGCCTCCGGGCAGGGCAGGAGCAGCGCGAGGGCTCCTTAGAGCAGCATCCACCGTCTGGATGGCTCTCCAGGCCTCTCCCCATCCATCAGCTCTGCTGCTCTTCTTGGGATTCCCTCTGTCAGATGCTTCCCATGCATGGGAGAGATTCATACTTGGACACCTATCCCAGCCGGAGCATCCTTTGGCTCTCCATGGTCGCATTACGCCCCGTGGCAGCACATTCCCCAGCTCCATGGGGCCCGGGGGGATGCTCAGAGATGGTGGCCTGGGGCTGCAGGGGGCTAAGCAGGTCCCTGAGGCCCCCTCTTTCCCAGCCAGGCACCAGCTCCCGCTCCACCGAGACCCCCGCTCCTCGCTGCATTGCCGAGCTCATTGGCAGCCCCTTCGCTCCACAGCAGCCCCAGGGCCATTCCCGCTCCTACACAACYCCAGGGCCATTCCCGCTGCTCCCTGGACCCTGGGCCACATCCCGGTAAGTGGYTGTGCCGCCCTTCACCCGCGCGATCGCAGCCGCCAGCCCTGCCAAGGACGAGGGACRGAGCCAAGGTCCCGACGGGGCCACGGAGGCGGCGGTGCTGGGTGCGGGACGGTGCTGTGGCCACCGCACCACGGGCCCTGGCGGGCGCCCAGCACCGGCTGCCAGGAACGGGGACGTGCGGCCCGGCCGCCCTGCGGGTGGTCCCAGGGAGGCCGCGGGAGCCGCACAGGGAAGTTTGTTTTTTTCCTGTGCTTTTTTTTTTTAAGGGCTCTCGTGCGGCCGAGCGTGACAGGCTGGAGCCTGCTGCTCCTTGTGCAGCAGCCTCCCCATCCCAGCCTGGCTCCCAGCCCGGCTCCCACCCCGGCTCCTGCTCCCGCACGTTTCACCCTGCTGCATCCCGGGGAGCTGATTGGGTTGGATGGGCCTGGCCCGGAGCTCAGACAGGTTGGGGAGCTGCCGGGAGCAGTCGGGATCCCGCTGTCCCGGGCAGCTGGAGCAGGAGCCCCTCGCCCAGGGGCGCCCCCACCTCCCTCATCCTCTGGGACCCTGTAGGGCCGGTCCCCTGGGATGGTCCCGACACCCCCAGATCCCCCTGGTACCAGATCCCTCTGGGGCTGCTTCCCCCAACACCTCCCGGACCTTCCCGGTGCTGGATCCCCCGGTGCCGGTTCTCCCGGGCGCAGGACCCCCGGATGCCTCAGGGCTGGTCCCCACGCGCTCCTGCATCCTCCCGGTGCTGGAGCCCTCGGACCAGTCCCCCCACCGCCCTCACATCCTCCCGGTACCGAGTGCCCTCGGTGCCGCTTCTCTCACGCTCCTGGGGCCGGATCCCCCCGGACCTCCCGCTGCTCCCGCCGGTACCGGCTCCCCCCGGGCCGGTCCCCGCCCCGCTCCGGCTTCCCCCGGTGCCGGTGCCGGTGCCGSYSCCGCCCCGCCCGCCGCGCGTACCGGTAGCGGTGCCGGCGCTCCGGGCGGCGCAGAGCAGCAGCGCCGGGGCCAGCAGCAGCCGCAGCGCCCGCGGGGGCAGCGCCGGGGCCCGGGCCCGGCACCCGCCGCCCATGGCGAGAGCAGCGCGCGGCCCGGCCCGGCCCGGCCCGGCCCGGCCCGGCCCCGCCCCGCCCGCCCCCGCCCCCGCCTCTCCCGCCCATCCCCGTGGCCCCCGGTCCCTCCGATCCCCACGTCGCCGTGTCCCTCCTGCGCCCCCCGGCCCCGGGGAGCCCCGGCCATGGCCACATCCCCGTGTTCCTCCTGCCCCAGGTGTCCTCCTGTCCCCCACCAGCCCCATGGTCAGCCCAGCTCCCTCCGTCCTTCCCCTGCCCCAGGACCCGCGCTGCTCATCCCCACATCCCTCTATCCCTCCTACAGTCCCCATGGCCACATGCCTGGATCTCTGTCCCTCCTGCTGTGTCCCCAAGATCTCCATACCCATCCTGTGGTCCCTACATGTCACCAAGCTCCCTGTGCCCATGCCCAGGTTCCCCATGTTCCCCAGGACACCTGTGCCCATCCCCACACACCAATCCTGCCCCCGGAATGCCGAGCACCCTGGCACAGCCACTGGGGGCAGGAACACGGCACATGCCAGCTCCAGGAGGTGACCAGATTGGGAAAACCGCTGGTGGGTGTTTGCAGCCTGGCCCTGTCGCAGCCTGCCCAGCAAGGGCTGGCAGCACCGCCAGCCTGGCAGCCTTCGGCAAGGAGAGAGGAGGAGGAGGAGCTGGGGAAGGCAGAGCGAAGCCTGTGGCTGCAGGGAGGGTGCTCAGGGCCCCGCAGTGCCCATGGGCATCCAATCATCCCACTCATCCCATTCATCCCACTCATCCCACTCATCCCGCAGGAGCTCGCAGGGCAGAGTCCCGCGGCTCGCGGCAGTGTCTCCCATGGAGCCGAGGGGGCCCGGGGGCTGCGGCGCTTCCGTCCCTCCGGTATCGCGGCCCGGCAGCCTGCGCGGGGAGCACGGAGGATCCCCCTGCGGCAGMGGCGCTTCCGCCCGCGCGGCGGCCGCGCTGCCCGGGGGCAGGCGCACGTGCCGGGAAGCAGCCGCAGCCAGGGATGCAGCGGGAATGGGGAGYGCGGGAGCTGCTCCGCAGACCCATTTCCCACACCAACTTCCCCCATTTCCTAGGTTTCATTTYCCCTTTTTCTTTCCCCTTTTGGCCTCGGCGCAGGCCGAGGGGAAGGAGATGATGGCAGCGGGGTCGTGTGTGTCTGGGGTGGCCATGGAGCCGGAGAAACCCCCGGCAAACAGGGCCAGGAGCAGCTGGAGCCATCCAGCCGGCAGCCCCCATGTCCCGCAGCCGGGACTGACGGACGGACGGAGCGAGCGGCCGCTGCCAGGCCCCGTCCTCCCGTCGGGAGGCAGCAAAACACCGTGGATGCCGCTGCCGGTGCGAGCGGAGCCCTCGAGCCGGGCGGCTGCTCCTGCCCCGGCCTTCCCAGGCGGACACAGCCCCTGTCCCAGCGCACGCAGCCGCTGTGCCCGTGTGCGGGMGGGTGAGGAGCCCAAAAACCATCTTGGTGGCAACAAAGGAAAGATAAAAAGGGAGAGGAAAGGGCAAAATGTTGCATTGGATGTGGTGTTCCTGGCAAAGCCCAGCTCCACAGCCCTGTCGGGATGTCCCGGCTCTGGGCACCCCTCCGAGGGGTGTTTGGGGAGCACGCGGGACTCGGGGCGCAGCGCTGCGATGGGCACTGCCAGGTTGGGGCATGGGAGCAGCAAGAGGCGGCGCYGGGGGCTGCAGGGAGGCAGCGAGGGGCGCGCAGGATGTCTGTGCCGGTAACCCGAGCGCGGGCGCAGGAAGGCGCTTTCATCAGCTGTATCCATCACCCGCGCGGCCCCGCTCCTCCGGCGCGCGCGGCCCCGCCGCCCGGGCGGCCCCGTAAATGCTTCCAGCCCGGCCGCGCCGCGCGGCGGGCCGGCGCCGCAGCTGCTCCCAATTACGGCGGTGTTGGGTTCCCCGCCACGGCGCCCGGCACAGGCCGGACCCGCGCGGCCGCACGTGCTGACCCTGGCCGCCCCAAGGCCCCGCGCGTGCAGGACGCCCCGGTGCCCACAGTGACCCCCGTGCCCGGCGCGGGGCAGGGTGGCCACGCGCCGCCCGAGCCGGGGCAGGACCCGGCGCCCCGCGAGCCGCCCGCCGTCACCGCCGGCGGCCAGGAAATCGCGGCAGACACGAGCCCAAACGCGCCGCGGCCGTCCCCGGCGGCTGCCCCGGGGCAGCAGCTCGGCCGGGGCTGAGTGACGGCTTAAACGTTTCGTGCCCGGCCGGGCCCGGCGCTCGTCTCGCTGCCAGCTCCCTGCCGGCACGGGCAGCGGTTCCCTGATGGGATGATTTACCTGATTAGGGAGTTTATTTTACCCAAATTGCTGGGGGACGGGTCCCTGGCGGCTGCCAGGCCTGCAGCCGGGTCACTGGGGTGGCTAATGGGGCTAACATGAGCAGCAATTAGCGCCRGCGGATTTGACGACTGCAAAGTGCTCTGTTCCCCTTAATTAAAAATCTGTTAAGAAGATTAGTGCATAAAAGTATCAAATGCAACCCCAGAGTTTCTTCCCTCGTCGGCCCCTGAAGGCGAGTGTGGGAGTGCGGGATTGCTGCAGGAGTGCAGAAATTGCTCTTGTAAAGGTAAGGGCTTCCCATCCAAAGTAACTGCTGACAGCTTTTCTTGACTTCCCTACCAAGAGGTCCTTTATATTTAATTACAGTTTGCTTAAATTAGCCCTGATTGTTAGCATGGAGCGTTAGTTTAAATACATTTTAGGTGCATTGTTCCTCTGCGCCCTGGCTGTGCTGCAGGCTGCAGGTTGCTGGCAGGAAGAGGCGCTGGGCTGCAGGGAGGCTCCTGCACGGGCTGCGCATCCCGGGATACGGGACCAGCATCCTGGTGTGTAAGGTTGAGCATCCAGGGACACGGGACAAGCATACCGATGTGCAGGGCTGAATATTCCAGTAACCAGGACTGGGCATCCCTGTGTACAGGGCTGAGCATCCCGGTACCCAGGACTGAGCACCCCTGCCTGTGGACACAAGCATCCCGATGCATGGGGACGAGCATCCCAGCACCTGTGGCCAAGCATCCTGGGGCCGAGTATCCCATTCATGGGCGGCCCATCCCAGCACACGGGCCGAGCATCCCGTGCCGGCTGAGCCTCCCTCGGCATGCGGCCCCTTCCCGCTCTTTGTCCGCAGCCAGAAACTGAGCAAAACACAAGCAGATTCCCAGGCAGCTGAAGGTGCCATTTTTATGGATTGGCTGAACRAGGAAGTATTTTTTGATCTCTTAAAATCCTGAATATTATCTGACAGTTTATCTTGTTTCTCCGCATCCGTGTCTTTGCGGCAACGCCAGCTCATTTACATGTGTATTGCGCCTGCCTCCACGGGTGCTGAGGTCAATTGAAACTCAAGAAAAGAGGAGAAATTTATGCAAAACTGTTGATTGCATTTGTATGTAATGAAATCATCCAATATTCATCTGACTATAGACTCTAATCTGAAAGGAGAAGTGAAGGACATAAGAGTCACTGGAAAGCAATAATGAGCTTCTGTAGTGATTAAAAAAGCACTTGAGCTTTCTGAAAATCCAGCCAGAAATCGTGTCTAATCAACACGGAATATAGGAGGCAGAGATTACATTGATACATTTTGCAAAGCTCACTGCTGAAAATGCATGCGAGCTGTAAACTCTGACATGCCATCCTGGCGCTGCGTTATACAAATCCGGGAAGCACAATCAGCGCCCAGGCTCGTCCCTGGCACAAAGCAATCGCCGGGGCTCTGCTCGATGACTCACGAGGAGCGCAATCACAGCCATTTTGAAGAGCAATGTTGGTTTTTAACTCTCTCGAGAGCTCCCAGGTTCCGCAGAGTTTCTCCTCCCGGCGCCTCCGCCACGGGCCGGGATGCGCCGCGGGAAGGGGCTCCCGGTTGGGCTCTGCCGGTGGCCGGTGCCACTGCGGTGCTGCAGCCCCGGACATTGGGCCCATGGGGCTGCTCCCCGACTCCCTCCCAGCTGCAGCTCCTTCGCACCCTTGGGTGGCATCAGCTGCAGCTCCTCATAAGCCTGACCAAGGGCAAGACTCCTGCCTGTGCTGCTGGGAGGACTCCTGCCTTTTCCCTGTGCTCTTCCCAGCCTTTGGGCAGAATGGGATCCATGTGGAGGAGCCCTGCGTGTCAGCAGGACCCGGTCACAGTAAGTGCAGCGGGTGCCCGGCTGAYGGCAGCCCCAGGGCCGGGCAGCCCGGGCGCTTGGCAGCCCTTGTGCCAAGGGGAAGAGCAGGGAGAAGTCCCTGCAGCAGGGGAAGCGCCCGTCCCTGCGGGACACATCCCTGCTGCCGGGCCCAGGGAAGGGGGCACCAGTGCAGCTCATGGCATCCTGCTCCTGGGGCCGCCCTGGCACCCAGGGACCCTCGTGAGCCCACGGACCCACGAGACTCGCTCCTGGGCAGGTAATGAGGGAAGCTCCGTGGTCCTGGGCTGTTGCTGGGATGCAGGGGCTGCAACAACAACAGAAAAGCCTTGATGATAAATGTCAAAAGAAATACAGTAATCRGCTGAAAGCAATTTACTGAGCCATGTAACCGCCCTGGGCTCGCCATTTTCCTTTATTCATTTATCATGGTAGGCGCTTTGGCCAAAATACACAAAGTGGAGAAATTGTTGACATGTGGGGCCCTAGCAGAGCAAATCCGTCATCTCCTCCCCCTCCCCGCCGTGCACAAACTAACTTTTTGGGAGTTGTTTAGTTAAGGACTGCAGAGCACTTAGTGCTCTTTGAAGGGCCGCGCTCTGGGAGCGGGGCTGCCGGCGTCCCCCTTCCCCCTGCGTCACCCAGGCCCTGGGGAAGCCTCTTTGCTGCTGCAGGAAAGTACCTGCTCGCAGCTGCACCCGCGCGGGACCCTGCTCTGGCACTGCCTCCTCCCCTCTGCTGTGCCAAGGCGACGCGAGCRGCGCGCGGGGCATGCGGCAGCGGCCTGGGCATGGCTGGTGCTCGCAGCAGAAAGCTCCCGTGCTGGCTCTGGTCTTGCTCTGTGCTTCGTCCTGGCAAAAAGAGCCCTGCTGGCGGTGCTAGTGACAATTCTTCACCCAAAAAGTCACCAAAGGCTAAGGAAGTGCACAGCCATGGTCTTTGTATGCACTTTGGCAGTGTGCACCGGTGGGTGAGGAGCTTCTCCAGGTCCTCCTGGAGCTGCACACCTTGTGGGAAAGGCTGTAGGAAACTGTGGTGCCAACAGCAACRGGCAAATGCTCTTCGGAGAAGAGTGAACTCAAGGGGACAGGCCAACCAGGAACTGGCTGTTCCTCCAGGTCCCATTTTGACTTTATTTTAGACAGAAACATTTGCCCAGGTCCACAGCAGGACAGTGGAGGAGCAGGTTCACCTTGCTCGTGTTCCTGCTTCCGTCACAGCCAAAGGGAGAGCTGCTACGAGGGCTAARAGGCCGGGGATGGAAGGAGCGAGGGCACGGCCGCGCGAGCAGGTCGGGGGAAGCAAAGCTGTGGAGGGGTCAGGCCCTGGGTGGTTCAGGTCCTGTTGGGTGAATGCCCAAGGTGGGGGGGCAGCCTCACCTCCTGTGTTGGCTTCTGCTGTGGRAACCCTTCCCTCAGCTTCCCATCTTTCTCGTTTGATTTTTTTTAAACTTACTTAACCTAATTTTGTTCTTCACCTGAATAAATAAAAGCAAGGAGAGTTTCCCCCATCCCTCCAACACGGTCGAGGGTCGGCAGTCCAAAGCAGGGGTCTGTTGTGGAGGTCTGGGAGAGCTGTCCCTGCCGTCACCTGAGGCTGCTTGACGGTCTTGCTGGTGGAGGGGAGTGTGTCCATAGGGATGGTGTTTACCCGAGCAGCTCCTTGGTCTTGGCTGCCAGCAGCTTGTCCATCTCGGCTGCAGCGCTGTCTGCCATTTGCTGGATCTGCAGCACAGCACAAGCCTGAGTCACGTGCGAGGTAGCGCCAGGGGTCAGAGGGAAAGGAATGACTGGGTCATCTCCTGAAACGCAGCCTAAAGCGCTAATAAAAACCAGCGCTGGGGTAATAACCCTTTCCTCCTAGGGGCTCCCCACCAGGTTTAGGGGAGTCTGTGCCAGTGCTTCATCTGCATAGTGAGAACAGGACCAGGGAAGGCCAAGCGTGAACCGCCCCCAGCTCCTAGTCGCTGCTGATGCGGACGTGAGTGCTGGAGCACAGAAGGGCCATGGAGCCAGGAGAGCTTCCCGCTTCCCACTYGCGCTCTGCTGCTTCAGCTAAAGCCACGCAGCCTCCAAAGAGCTGCTTGCATCCTACATTGAACCCACGTTTGCTGCAATGCTTGCTGTTCTCCTGGCAGAACATCCTGGCTGAGCCCCTGAGCTACTCTGTCAAGCTCTTATTTAATGGAGCTACCTCAGGGGGAGGGTGGAGTCAAGAGACCTCCTGCCGTCAGTGCCAGAGATGAGGGCTTATCTCATTGCTAGATGAGGGCTTATCTCATTGCTTTCTGCAGCCTCTTCACTGTCACAACAAACTAGATAATAGCAGGAGTCACAGTCTTCATGTGTGAATTCCTAGTGTGTACAAAGTAACATATATATATATTTCTATCTTTAGAAGATATATATATCTTCTAAATGATAAATAAACTGCTATTGCTAAAGTACTAGCCCAGTGTCAGCTCTCCTGCTAATAAGGGTTGGAGATGGCAAGCATGTCAATGGTGCATAACTGTGTACATGCTTATTTGAGTGTCTGATGGAATGTGCATGGATGAAGGTTTGAGCACATGAGGGTTTTCATGCAGTAGTTTTRTAAGACTGATTTAGCAGCATTGACTCCTGAGATTCCAGGCATATGAGAATGACCTTTTCTCAAGCTGAAAAATCCGGGTACAAGGGAAAATTGGACTTGAGATACTACCTCTACAAATGCAGAAAACCATCTGTCTGCTCTGGGAGGACCGCTTCCCAACAGGATTCAGTTACAATAGCCTGGCCATTTTTCCTGCTCCCAAAATGCTCTGTATATCAATGTTTATTTTTGTGAGCATACAAAGAACTGTTCTGAAGCATTTGCAATGTATCTAGCTATAGCTGTTAATAAACAAACAGCTAAAAAGTAATGGCCTGCCTTCAGAGGCATCAATTCAGCAAAACACTTATGCTTGTGCCTGAGTTTATGCCCAAGTAATTGACTTTAGTGACATCTGCTCTTAGGGAATTAGGCATGTGCTTAAGTATTTTCCTGAATCAAAGCCAAAAACTCCTAACAGAGATAATCTTGCTAGCCTTTTCATTAATAACAAACTGGAACAATCCTCATTAACACCAGCTGTTTTGCAATGTCCAAGCACTGTGCATGTGGGTAGTTTGGCTCCCTGAGGTCAGCTGGTTTATGCAACAGTCCTTGGAGCCTCAGAAGCTTTCGGGGAAGACTYTTCCTGTGTTAGTTTACAACAGTTCATACCACGAATTTGGCTTTAAGATTCAAGCCCTAAATCTGACAGAGAAAAGGGCCATTATCTAACCCCAGAATTCAGCCCAGGGTCACCTATGTCCCAGAYAGGGTCTCTCTCCTGAGGTCTGGGATAATGTTCACTGTTGTACTCATATGAGTGGGCTGTGAAACATCAGAATGCACCAGGAGGAAAAAGCATACCTGCTTTTCTAGCAAGAAGATGGTATCTTCAGACACTTTGTTCTTGGACTTCTTTATTTGGGTGACACTCTTGCTTCGCACCTTTCTCAAAGCATCTTTSGATTTGTTGGTGGACTGCTTGGCGAGCTTCACAAGGCCCTCCCTGTGCTCCCTGGTTATCCTAGGCAAAGAAGGGATAAAAAAYGTCACGTGTAGCATGGACACATGTATTTCCTGTGAAGGACAGTGTGGACTCTGGGCTGAGCAGCACCATGCTGGGCTCTGCCAGGGTGCCCAGAAGCAGTGTGTGTCAYGACAGCCCTCACCCTGGCATGAGGCCCTGCTTCACAAAGCCACAGCACTAACCAGCGTGGCACCCGGGGGCTCTCCATCCTGCTCTGGGCACCAGCTGATTCGGCCCAAGGGAACTTGGTTAGCCCTGCACAGCACAGCTCCTGYCAAGGTGATGCACCTCAGTTGCGTCAGTCTCTGCCTAGAGCAAAAAGCTCCCAGCACAGCTCGGAGCTGAGGGACTTGGAATGAATCTTACTTGTTTTATGGCTGTCAGTGCAGCGCTTGAAAGTCATGCTGTAATGTTTAGGCTTTCCTTTTTTCTGCTGCCAAAGCATCTGGGGGAAGGAGGGAAAATCCAGCTCCAGGCCTAAGACACAGAGCTGAAAAGCAAAATCCTCCTGCAAAGCTGCGAGGAAACCTCCGTCCATTCCTGAAACTCAATACAGTCTCCCTGCAAGTGGAAGAGGCAGAATTGTGTATCTGGAAGCTATAGAGCTTATATTTCACTCAACTTTATTCCAGCTCATCACTAACAGGCATTTCCACTAAGATCATGTTTAACATCCTGTTTGACAAGAGGGTTATCCTAGAAGTGGTTCTGAAATTAGTGGCTCAGTATATCCGCAGCTAAGGGGCAGAGCACGATCTCAGCTCCACTCTGCCCTCACAGTGGGCCACTTACAGCTGTGATTCCACAGGAAAATCCTGAACTTTCTGTCCCGAACTAATAACTAAATGTGACAGAGGAGTCTGAGCACCTGAGTAAGACACAAGAGCAGCTGGCATGTCACCTCAGTGCCAAGAGCGTTCTGCTGCTTCCCAGCATCTGCAGCTGATCGCTGTCAGCATTAATTGTTAACGCTTAACAACAATATTTCAATTAGGTTGGTGGCTCTTGAAGCTTGCAGACTGCCTTGAGGCTGCAAGCCCCGCGCACCTCCCAGTGCTCGCGAGGCAGAGCAGGTACGTGGCAGCAGGCCCTGCAGAGCCCGCCCGTCCCGGGTGCGCGCAGGGTGGTCACTGACCGCGGGGCTCCCGTTGCGCCAGCTCTGCCCCGTCGCGGGGGTTCGGTCGGGGAGCCTGGCGCCGTGCGTGCCGTGCTGCGGCCGGGGAGCCGCGGCCGCTCCGGTGCCTCCCGCTTGCGGCAGCGGCGCTGCCTGTTCCTGAGCTCTGGCGCTCCTGGTACTTCGGAGCAGAGCAGGGGAGAGGCTGCCCAGACACAATTCCTGCCGTATTTGGCGTCTCCAGCAGAGCGGGCAGAGGCAGAGAGCCCGGGCTGGGATGGATCCGTGGCAGGGACAGCCTGCGCTTTACCAGCACCCCAATGTCGATGCCTTGGGGCTTCTCCCGCAAGCCCCCGAGCCAGAGCTCTGGCGGCCTCGGGAAGCCAGCAGAGCCTGCTCGGGCGCGGGGGCCGGGCCGAGGTCGTGCTCCCGGGCGGCGCGTGTTAAATCCGCATCTGCRGAACGCGGAGCGAGGAGCTGGCCGGCTGCTCCTGCCCGTCGCCTCCCCTGCGCTCCTCCTCCGTGAGCCCAGCCGAGGGTATCGCCTGCCTGCTTCGGGCTGCCGAGCCTTTAAGGAAATGTTTTTGTTTATGCAGCGCTGCCAGATTTCCTATGCTTCTTGGCACAGGGTCACAGCTTTCATGCCTCCCTGTCTGTCTTTATTAGCACCAATTTCTTTTTATCACTGTACAGCACCGCGGAGTTTCTCGGCGGGTTTTACGTTCCAACCAGACTGTGTGTAAATTCTCAGCAATGCTACCAGCAATGCCAGAAACTGGCGCTTTTTTTAGGCAGATGCTGTTTCTAGTTAAGGAATCCATCAACGTGAGCCAGGCCCAAGGTTCTAAAGAACAGTTGCTTAATTCTGCCACATCGGGGACTTCCACACGGTTCTGGATATGTTTTCTTTTCTTCCTTGTGCCTGCCTTCTCTTTAAGGTCAAGAAATGCAAAGCAAACCTGGGGAAACGGTGCCAAAATGGGGAGCGCAGCCGGGGTCTCTGCACAGAGCCCCTTCCCTCTGTCCCGGCCAGCCGCGGGGCTGGGGGTCCCCGCACCTCCTTGGGGGCAAACAAGCAACAGGCTCAAATCCTGCTGCTTCCGCAGTGCTGCCCCTGCGCTGTGCGATATCTGGGGTGAGGAGGAGAGGCCTCTGGGGACGGACACGCCAGCGTGTGCAGAAATGCAGCTCTACAGATGGTAACGTCTCCTTTCTCTGCTTCAGCCAGCAGCCGGTGGTTAAACACGGCGACACTTGGATGCTCCTCTCCCAGCACAGGGCACGAGCTCCCCCCCAGTGCAAACAATGCAGCCCACGGCCGAGTCCAACGCGAGACGCTTGTGCGGGTAAGAACAATTTCTCTGTCTTAAATGCTAGGAATTTCCTGCGAACAACAGGCATTAGTTAAAGGAAAGTGGGCTTAACTAGATACTCTGCATGCATAATTGCAGATGCAGATAAACATAGGGTGCAAAATATATTATTCAACAAAAAAAGCATGTATGACACTTATGATGAGAGATGTGGAGCAGCGCAGCACAAAAACAGCTTTGTTTTTTTCAAATGAAATTTCTGGAGTCCTTTCTCTCCACAGTAGGTATCTTTGCATATTTCTTAAAGGACAAAGGAAAAAAAGAAAGCTCACAATGAGTCATTAAACTTTCAAATGAGTCATCTGGCTTTCAGTAAAGCATGTGTAAAAATATTACTAATTTACAAACAATATCCAGTGTAACACAATAGTTCCAAAAAAGATGAATCTAAAAATGAGGCAATACCATAAAAGGCACAAGGTCAGGTCAAATTCAGCCAAGAGATGAACCAATACCAGTGTTCCCATGGCTGCTTTTTTTATGTTTCTTTTTAAACCCTCAGAGAATATTTTTAACACAAATAAATATTGCTCATGCAGTGCTAGCAACACAAACAAGCTAATACCTTGGGGAGTAGAGGGGATCCTAGCAGGAAGCAGAAGTAAACACAAGTGAAACTAGTGTATTTTTCCTGTCTAAACTGAAATGCAAAAATTAAATGAATAAATACCGAAGAGTAAACTCTACTTTTAAATGTTCAGTTGAAATAATCTCAAAMACTGAAATGTAGTCGAACCTGCATGGGGCAAAATATGATGCATATGTGTCCAGCTGATAAGTCAAACTGAAAAGTATTTTTAGAAACAGGCAAAACATTTCAGATTTGCAGATTTTATTTTTAATGAGTTTCCCCTCATGAAAGAATCAACTTTGGCAGAAACAACACTGTATCTGCCAGATATGCAAGGGATACCTGCAGAAATTTCAGGTCATTCTGGCACACCTGCTATAGCTTTGGCAAGTTCACTGCATCCTGTCTGTCACACCCTCCTCCAGAAATGTCATTAGASTGTTGGGAAAACGAAATAATTCGAAAAATTATGGGAAAAAATAATTCAGAGGTATGTTATTTGAGAGGACTCTAGCAGATTTTTTTGTTGTTGTTTTCCCCTGTACATTAGTCTCTTTACATTGTAAAGAGACCCTAGTTGACAGCCTGCTTTTTCAATAGGTGAACAAAACTCTGAAAGATCCAGTCTTGTCACTAAATAGTGACTGAGAATATGGGGGCTGAGGGGCTCATGAGGGCAGACCTGCAAGGCACAAGCTGAAAATCTCCCTAGTTCAGAGCCCTCCAGAGTGCCAGCCACCAAGGGTAAAAGGGAACGAGGGGCAGCAACAGCAATACACCACAGGAAGCAGGAAGCTCACTAGACAGGTCTTCCATGGGGAAAGAAGCCCTGTTTTCTTCTGCAGCACCACAGAAGAAAGTGATGGAACATGCACATTTGTTTAAAAAACAATATATTTTGCTGAAGATCGGGATTTGCAGTTTCAGAGTTTCCTCCCCTGCAATTCATATTCAAGGATGACCCAAGTGCCCATTAACAATCAAACTACTGTGCAGCACCCGGGAGCCTCAGCAATTATGAAGATAATAGTGCCCTCCTCCTCTCCTGAGCAATGGGGGAAGGGCAGAGAGCACAGGGGAAAAGAAAATCAGCAGATAGCATGATAATGTCATTCCCTTTCACCGACAGCAGCACAAAGCTGCAATTAGAATTCCCTGATCAAAATGCTAGATAAAATTCAATGTATTTTTAAAATAGATCTAAAGCACCAGAAATACTTAGTTCATCCTTACTTAGAAGTCACCTGCTTGTGAAATGCCTGTGCAATGGTATGTGCAGTGTAAAAGCCACCTCCAGCCTTTACGGGATCGTGAAATGAGGTCTGTGGTGGCTGGGTGCATCCTCACCTGCCTCCCTGGCAGCACCCACAGCAGCCCGTGAATGTACCTTGCACCAGGGCTACTCTCCCAGTTACACCTGTACCAGCAAGACCCGTGGCACAAGCAGAGCTTGAGGTCTGGCTCTGTACGAGATCCAGTCTCATCCTGGGGAGCAAACACGTGCGCATTGGGACAGCCCGATGGAGCACACTGCTGTGTATGGTAACATGTGTACTGCTCAAAAAGAGGGTTTTTGTTTTGTTTTAGCCAGAGTTCTCAATTTCCTCCCTCTTCCTTCCATTGTTCCATTTGATGGCCCCTGCAGCAAGATGCTCTTCACCTCTACTACTACGAGTTTGCTACTGCATTACTGCTGCTCAGGGCTGATACAACTCCACGAATTTGCAGAAAGCAGCAAGGAATTGGCCTTTGGATTAACCAAAAGTCTTTGGCCATCTCTTGCAAAGTGCTGCAGCCAGCTAGGCCCGAGCTTCCTCTGCAAGGGGAAGATAAAGAACACGGAGATCAGGCATCAGATGCCAAAGTGTGCTGACTTAGAGCTCAGATTCTTAGAAGAGGTTCTAGCAAATATTTTTAAGGGCTTGGATTATTTCCTAAAGAAAGATAAAGAGAGCAGCTGCATCAAGACATCACAGCAATCATGTATACGCACAAGGACAACAAGAGGCCCTTCTTGCAAACTATTATGTTGCCTTGCATAACCATGAATTTTGCTATCGTTACTTACTTAGGAATTGGGATCCGAATCATTGTCCCATCTACTTCCGGGTTTAGGTTCATTCCACTTTCCCTTATAGCCTTCGTAGCTGCAGCTGTACTCTGTAAACCAGATCAAAAGGTAAAGGGAATTAGGAAATAATTATTCCCATATGCCCGAACTCTGTCAATAGTTGGCAATCCATCTCCACAGAACATGGAAACATTTAGTTGTGTTACCAGTAAGATCAGGAAGTTACACTGGTGCCGAGAGCTTTGATCAAACTGAATGGGAAACTGTGGCTGCTCTTGGTATCAGGGTACGGAGGGCAAGAAGGGGGGAGGAGAGGGGAAGGGAAGCAACAACAAAAGAAAACTGTTTGGCTGCTTTGAAACTATTTGGATGGTTTGAGGCAATGCAGACTAAAACCGCAATAAATTCCCAAGGCATAGCCTAACTATGGCAAAGGAGATGAAAGATTCTGAGCATTTAAAAATTCCAGCTGAATGTCTTCCACTAGAAATCACAAAGTGCCAATTTAGAAATGTTAATTTAACCGCTTCAGCACTACAGCCCCCATTACATGAAACGCTGCATGAAGGCAGCAGCGGTTGTCCGAGAAACAGAGCCAGTGCTCAGCAATAAGTATATTTTAGAGCTAATTACCTGGGATCAGCTTCTCAAGACTCCATCGCTGCTGCCTGTGCTGAMACTCTGCTCTGCTAAAAAGGTGAGCTTGCTACCTGAGAAATGTTTAAATACCTTCTTTCCCATCACAGAACACTGGTGTACCTTGAGCATATTAAACTTTATGTCAGATCAGTTCTGTGGAAGGCTCTGACAGTGCCCTRCCAGCTTGTTTCATTCTTTGACATTAACGGTGACAGAACAGGCCTATATTCTCCTGGCACTAGTATAGCATTTTCTACAAGGACCACTGCTATTTTTGATGCTCTTCTCCATCASTGACTTTAGACCCAAGTTTCTACAGCAGAATGTATTTATGAAGTCCTGGAATATCAACTGACGCACAAATTAAAGCTCTGCATATTTGCTTAGGTCTTCAATGTGTGTGCACATCACTGAATGCAATGAATCTTATTCCTGTGTACTGTATGAATGAAATGAAAATACTGCTAAAAATGGGCAGAAAAATATAACTAAGATGATCTTTGCAAATTAACGCTATAAATGTGTTATTCTACGGAYAGTGCCTGCCCTGTAAGATGGTAATATTCAGTAAAAACTGTACTGTTTAGCATATATTGCAGGAGAGGGAAGAAGGGAAAAATATATTGCTCCTATCCTGTTTAAATATGTATTCATGCCTAAAAAGAGATTCTTTTCTGTTTTTGTAAATCTCAGGCATAGATGCACTAAGCAGACTTTGGCCCTGCAAATCTTTTTGTATGATTATTTTCTTTCCCAGATTCTTCAGACATTTCCATTTCCTTCTCAATACTATCAACTATTCGCTAGAAGCTGTAAATAATGACATTGAGTAATGTGTGTATAATGTCATTAAGGAGTTCAACCTATCCATGAAACAGTTATGTTACAGAACAACTGCACTGAGAGAAATGGTTATAGCTCTAGTTCAATGAATAATGGCTCCCTGGTTTAGAAATATCCTGTAGGCAATGGTACATATGGTGGTATTTAATTTCACACATGCCCATTTCTCAGCCTGTCTCAATTCCTGCTCGGACACGGGCTAAGTCATGGAGTGACTTCTCCAGCCCTCTCAGCTCTGGCACCCTGAGGCACCTCCGTGCACTCGCTGATGAGGGGCCTTCCTTCTTCAAAGACATTACACATGCTGCATGCACTTTAAGAAACACTTAGGCATCAAGTACCTTACACTGACCTCCTCTGAGACTTTGCTGACCTAATTAATTGGGGAAAGCCTTTGCAAAATAAATAGAGATAAGCTTTGGCAAACCTCCAGACCCGGAGCTGGATGAACAGCTAACCCTGCACTCATTACTCCTTGTGCCTGTACACGCTGCTCCGCTCTGAGTGACAGCCCTCCTCTCCGCAGGGCACGGGAACGCTTGCTCCCGACACGGGATGCACGGGGCAACTCGAACCACGGCTCCTGCAGAAAATTAGGCTGGCTCTCTCCAAGAGTCAGAACATCTAATTTGGGGTCCTGAGCTGAAGGCACTGTCAAGAGAGCAGCTCGCTAACTTCACTGCTGCCTATCAGGCCCTGTGACAGCACTTAGTGCTTAGTTCTGCCAGGGGAGCAGCATAAATATGGACTATTTAACTACAGGCATAGGTTTGTGCATAGCCAAGTCTTCACAAGCAACTGAACTGGCTCAAATACAAAAGGGCAGATCTAGGGTGTGTGCAAGACTACCAGGTTCAATAAAAGCTCAGGAAATGAAGAGACCTAGCAGGGCACAAGTACCTAGGTGTCCTTCCAGCATGGCACTGTCCTAGTTAGGATAATCCCTTTGCTGTCTTTCYACCAAGTTCTTTGTGATGCAAAGACAGGAGAATAGTGCCCAAAGCAAAATGATCATATTCTTGGAATTTATCGGATGGAAGCTCGAGAGTAATCATGGCCTAACTGGAAATGCTGCTGCATATACAAGATACCTTRTACTCCAGATGGAGGTGGCCAGTCACTTCTGCAAAATATAACTGTTGTGCATCAGCCAAAGAGTGCTACACAGCGCASTGAGAACTCTCAACTGCTGTCAGAGCTGAGCAATTGAGTCTAAATGCTCCTTTGCTCAGTATCAATCTGTTTGTTCCTGTGGTAGTTACTACCTACCACCAGTAACATGGCCTTACCTCTGGAAAATTGGTCATGTTCACGATGATGAGCTGAGGTGACTTCTGTGAGATCTGCCCAAGCTGGTTCAGTGGAAACTTCCCATCTTTGGTCACCACAACTATGTGATCAAAGGCCCCTCAAAAGAACGAAACACAGTGGCATTTCAGTACGACAGAGCAGCCCAGAATGAGAATGTAGCATAAAGACATGTGCAGTGTCCTGCATTCCTTCCATTATGCAACACATAGATATTACAAAAGAAAAGGATTTTTTCAGACTTACAATTTTACTATTATACTTATTCATGCCCTGCGGTATTTGCAAACCAAACATTTCAACATCATTCTAGAGCACAAGAACACAAAAACAAAACTTTTGTTTGTTTTCATTACTGGAACACGAAAACTAAGCAAAGATGATGAATAATCAAGATATATATTTTTTCATTCTTACAATAAAGGAAAAATCTAAATGTTGCTCTAAAAATCAAGGAGATTATGTCTTTAGTTTAGCAGTGTTCCCTTGAGTCCTCAACGCTCTTTTCCAAGTCCCARGAGGAAGCGCTGTACGCTGTCTAATTTAAAGTATTCAGTTTCTCCTGGAGCTGCTCTTACTCTGCTCCCTTGTTTATGCTCAAAAACATGAACAGAGCAAAAGGCACAGGAGACAAGAGGTACTTTATCAGTGCAATTAAAAAAATACCTATGGTTAGAATAAATAGTTAAGCGACTGAGCTAAACTTTCCAATTCCGTTAAAGATTGAAGTGCCAGAGCAGGGGTGGTGAATGATTCAAATTTGGTCATTGTTTAATGTTCAGTTTCATCCCTGAAACTTGATACTGCTTATAAATACATATGTTCAGAGTGTTATAGTAACTGTAGCTTAGTCAAATATATTCATGTTTCTTTCTAAAACAGAAAATCCACTAAGTGAGTAGGGCTTGTAAAGGTCACTAACCACAAATACGCATGGCAGAAAAGGTTTGTATATGCCAGACACCAGCCTGATGGCAATTTCCAAAAGGCTAATTTAATGGCAATTGGATTTTTCCTGCCCTACTGCAGCATTAGCTGACAACCTGCTTCTTCATCACATCTGCAAACAGTTCAGTTAGACACTTTTGACATCTCCCACTTACAAAAGCTATTTCCAGGAAGCTATTAACAAAAATGGATTCTTCCTGGTCAAGCCCGGGGTGAAAAAGGCCTTTAGCTGGGGATGTCAAGGTTGTAGTAATCTGCTGCCTAGTGACTAATTCAATAAAAAGGAAATCAAACTTGAAAAAAAAAATAAACACGCAGCTCAGTGCTGCAAAGACCAGTAACTTTATTTACAAACAGCAGAGCAACATCCAAGAAAGCTACTAACCTGGTGAGGTTCTAATATTGAGATTTCTGCTGAAATCTTCTTTCAGGGCTTCTACCACCGCCTGCATGTCCTCACTGGTTTCTTCCAAATTTATAATATCCTCAACCAAGGCGGCACTGATATTCACTCTAGCTTGAGCCTGCCCTTTGCCTTTCGCTGCAATTACACACAAAATTCATTTCTAACGCTTCCTTGTTAGACAGTAGAAAGAAACCACTACAATCGCTGTTAGATTCAAAACGGAGCATAAGATAAACCAGGGCAACTATATTTTCAAGTGAGCAAGCAGTCCAATGCCTGAGCATGCAATCCATCATGTACGCGGACGTCACGCAGCGGGCACGGCTCCACCTGGAACATGGGGACTGCTGCTCACGGATGCAGGCCACCCAGCAGCTCCAGGCAGCGCTTCCCAAGGAGGGACTAAAATGCAACGTGGCTGGCAAGACAGGCAGGAAAAACAGCTCCTCCAGGCCTGTGCTCTGCCTCGGGTGGATCAGTGCTGCTAGCTGGGACAACGGGGATGAGGAATTCAAGGTTTTTGGTATTATCTGGCAACAGGCTAGTAGGAAGACTGCAAAACTTGCCTTTTTTGGTCGCCAGCTGCCTGGTGAGCACGGCCTGGTGGCCACGCTGGCTGCAGGCGCCGGGCAGCGGGGCCGGGCGGCCCGCGGGCGCCCGCGGCAGCGCCCCGGCCACGAGCCGCGAGCGACACAGCGGCGGCTGCAGCTGCCGCAGGCACCTCAGGGCCAGCGCCATGGCGCGCAGCTCCTCCCGGCGCACCTGGAAAACAGGAAGGGCTGCGGGAATGCCGCGGGAACGGGCACGGGAATGCCGCGGGAATGGGCACGGGAATGCCGTGGGAACGGGCACGGGAATGCCGTGGGAACGGGCACGGGAATGCCATGGGAATGGTCATGGGAATGCCGCGGGAATGGGCACAGGAATGCTGCGGGAACGGGCACGGGAACGCTGTGGGAATGGGCAGGGGAATGCCGTGGGAACGGGCACGGGAATGCCATGGGAATGGTCATGGGAATGCCGCGGGAATGGGCACAGGAATGCTGCGGGAATGGACATGTGAATGCCACGGGAATGCTGCGGGAATGGACATGGGAATGCCATGGGAATGGGCATGGGAATGCTGCGGGAATGGACATGGGAATGCCATGGGAATGCGCACGGGAATGCCATGGGAATGCGCACGGGAATGCCGCAGGAACGGGCACGGGAATGCCGCAGGAATGGGCACGGGAATGCCGCAGGAATGGGCCACACGGCTCCGTGGCAGCCACGAGGCGGGCACACAGGCCAGGCCACACGAGGCTCCGGCCTGGACTGCGGGGCCCTGCCCTGCGAGAGCCGCGTTTGAGTTCTGGGGAAACCCGGGAAAACGCCAAATCYGGGCAAAACACGGCGTGTTTGCGGCCGGCCGGCGCGCACCTTCGCTCCACAAAAGCACACCCCAAGCAAAGCCCTGCTCTGCTGCTCAGCTCCCGCCCTGCCCGCGGCTCGCGGGCGGCCCCACGCGCGACCGCAACCCGCGGCACGTGCGCCCGGGCCACGCCCACTCCCCGCGAGGCCCCGCCCATTTCAGATGGCCCCGCCCCCTGAGGCCCCGCCCCGCAGCGCCGCCTCCTTTTAGTGCGGGCGCCGTGACCCCACACCCCCCCCCTACACTCCCTCCCCCCCATCCCGGGGCGCTGCGCTCGGGCCGGGCCGCCCGGTGGGCGCGGGTTGGGGGAGGGGGACACCGGGAATGGCGGCGGGGACACCGGGAATGGCGGCGGGGGGCACAGGGAATGGCGGGGGGGGAAGCGGGCGCCCGCCGCGCCGCTCACCGTGGCGCAGCTCCGCTGACGGCATCGCGCGGCGCCGTGACGTCACAAGGCGGCGCCGGGGCGGGCGGCGGCCTGCGGCGGGTCATGGTGAGCGGCCATGGAGCCGGGCCGCGCGGCGCTGCCGCTCGAGAACGCCTCCATCCTCTCGGAGGGCGCGCTGCAGGACGGGCACCGCCTCTGGATCGGCAACCTCGACCCCAAGATCACCGAGTGAGTCACGGCCCGCGGCACCCGGGCCTGCGCGCCGC